ATAACTGACAGTAAAAGAGAGGAAGACCCTGGATGAGATGGATCAATTCAGTGACTGGGATAATGGGATGGATGTGTCAGAAACAATAAGATTGGCACAGGATAGAGCAGGGTTTAGGGCTGTCATACATAGGGTCACTGAGTCGCAGGTGACTCGACAGCACATAACAACAACATGGAAGAATTTAAAGTAATATACATCTAAAATGATCTCTAGTGAATTTGTGATAAGGAGTTGTGCTGCCAACCCAAAGGCAGGCAGCTCAAATCTATCAGCTGCTCTAAAGGAGAAAGACAATCTCCTCTCATGTACATACAGTCTCCGAAAACCTACTGGAAGATCAGCTAAAAAGGCAGTTCTGACTTGACAGTATATAACGACATCATCACATCTAAAATACAACTTGGCTCTTTGTTTAATTCATGCTTTTTTAGCAGAATCAAGTATTTTGTCTTTTTCATAGCTATAATTGTGTACTCCTTTAAGGTGGATCCAGTCTACTTCTAAGTTTTTGTTGGTTTGTTGTGTTTTTTTTTTAATTATCAAGCAAAAAAATCAGTCAGAGATTCTTAGGGGCAGTATCATCATTCCTTTAGGGCCTTGTGGGCACTTGTTCTTAAAGGCAGGGTCAGCGTTTTCACAAAGACATGTGAGTACTTCTAGTACCTGGGGGTTATCAAGAATGTAAAATACCAGCTAAGCATAGCACTCCCACATAACAAAGAACTGCCTGCTTCACTCAAAATGTAACAAGGCCACTTAGAAACACTAGCTGATATTATTTCCCCCAAATACCAGGCGCACATAATAATTAACAGCAACTCAGAGCTTTTTCTTTCCTCTTCTCATAAAAACCTTGGTGGTGGTGGTGGAGATGGTGTTTGGTACCAACAATAAGTTAATTCAGACTCACAGTCGACCTTACATGATAGAATGGAATTGGCCCCGTAAGATTTCCCAGACTATAATGAATATGAAAGCAGACCTTTCTCCTACAGATCTGCTGCTGAGCTCAAGCCAATGGCCTTTTAGTCTGCAGCTGAGCCCTTAAGAAATTTTAGCAATGTGATGGTTAATATTTTTTCCCCCAGACGCTCACAAGTTTAGTGGTGGTGGTGGTGGTGGTGGTTGTGTACCACAGAACTGGAACCGACCCATAGCTGACCCTCTGGAGGGTTTTCAGAAGCAGTTAATCACACAGGAGGTGCCTGTCCTTCTGTGGAGTAGCCGGTGGTGGTGGTCTCGACCTGCGTGCCTTCGGGATTGCTGCTCATCTTCTTGCCACTGTTTACAGTACTTATTTTCAACACTCTCCAAGTCTTACAAACACCATTAAAGGGGACTGGGAGGGAACAAGCTAAGGAGGAACAGGAGGAGCTTCTCTCTGCCAACCAGAGACTATCCTTGAACTACTAAAACCAAGATGCAGCCTTCTTCTCCAGCACTTTGAGCCCTACTTTCTTGCTGCCACACTACAGCTGGAAATAAAGATGGAGATTCAGCTCTGCTGGCCCTTTAGCTTCCAAGAAAATATAAACTCATGACAAACCTCATCCCCCATCATAAGGAAATCATTTACTGCTTCAAGCTTTTCAAAAGCAGCCCCTGGGCATGGAAATTTGCATAAAGTGTCTCATTGGTTAAACGGCCTAATAGTCCTTACTCAGCAACTTGTGAGCTCATGAAGTACAGTAGCCTGGTAAGAAAGACTGCTTCCCATTAAATTCTATGATTTGCACAGAGTGGATCTTCTGGGAGAGGGGGTGGGGAAGAATGTAAACAAATGCTTGGGAGCTTAAAAGAGGGGTGAGGAAAAAGACTTTAGACTGATCTTATTTATTCCACCAAAGTGTCATCATTGATGCTGTCATGTCTCCTCATGCTGGAACTTACTAATAGCTGACCCTCTAAGGGGGTTTCAGAGGCTGTAAATGGCCTGGGAGGAGGAGACTGCCCGCCCTTCTCCCTGAACAGAATGGATGATGGATTCAAACCATAGTACTTCATGTTCCTTACCACCAGGCCACCACAGCTCCCTATCAAAATACCAGTGTTAAAAAAATGAGATGTAAAACCACAAGATTATTTTTATGATCTGTGGCCCTGATCACTTTGTTGAATTGCTCAGCAAAGACAGTCAATTTCTTTGGAAAAAGTCCCACATTTACCCAGTCACACTATTTCGAACCAAACCTGTTAATGTTGAGTGATTTCAACTCACAGTGACCCTACAGGACAAGGGAGAACTTCCCTATAGCGTTCCCAAGACAGTGATCTTTAACGGGGAAAACTGCAAGCCTCTCATTTAGCCAACCAAGTGCTTAAGCACTACATCACCAGGGCTCCGTGCTCTCATGACTTACCTAGCATCAACCACGTGTTGGCAAAGGCCTGGGGAGCTGAGTGCAAATTCCAGCCAAGAGAGGTCCTCAGCTCCGAGAACCTAGTTCCTCCTTCACAGTACCCGGGAGGACAGGTCACTCTCTTATAACTTCTAACTCCAGAAGACAGAAGCTTGCTTGGCTTTCCAGATTGCATGATCAGAACCATCTTATGCATATAATTTCAAGTTCTCTTAACCTACTATCAGTCCACAGACATCTCAGAATGGTGTCCTAAGACCAGAAATGGCAGGTATCACTCACATCAGAAACTTCATCAACAGTGAGATTTTGGCTTGATTCTGACAATTTCCATAATGCTGAAGCCCACTGTTACAGTCAGTCACTATGCCAACTTATCACACTGAAGGTCTTACTCTCTTTTTCTGACCCCTCCCTACTCTCCCAAGAATGATGTATTTTTCCAAAGACAGACCCCTCCTGATAACAACCCTCCTTAAGTATATGAGATAAAGTTTTACCATGCCTGCCTTTAGGAAGTACTTCCTCCAAACATGTTTGTTCTTCTAGCAGTCTGAAATATTCACTACTCTCTGCCAACACTGTAACTCAAAGGTATTGACTCTTTCCTAACAACAACAAAAAACCCGAAAAAAAATATTTTTTTCTTTACTCGTTGTCTAACTTTCACATGCTTACGAAGCAACTGAAAATACCATGACTTGAGTTTGGTACACCTTAGTCTTTAAACTGGCTTCATTCCTCTTTAGCGTTTTCAAGGCATCCTTGACAGCAAGATTTGCCCAATGCAACATGTCTTTTGATAGTTTGCTCTTAATGATGAGACCCCTAGTTCTACACCCTTTTCTGAATTTTAATTTCTTACAGTTACCTAAGTACTGATTAGCTGTTTTTTTTTCATTCTCTTTATCAAGATTTTACTTGCATGACCCTTTAACAAATGAATGGATAAAAAAAATGATGGAATATTCACAGAATGAAATATTATGCAGCACTGTAAAACAATGAACTTGTAAAACATTACACAACATGGGGAGCCTGGAGGACATTATACTGAATGAAATATCTCACTCGTGAAAGGATAAATACTGCATAACACTGCTGTTATAAAACAGACATGGGCAGATTGAGGGAGAGAATGGGGAAAAAAGTGGATAGATAATGAACACTGCATTAGAACAAATGAGAGGCAGAACTGTTTGAAAGGAATAAATGATTAGGCATTTTAAGTATGTATGTATATTATACGTATGAAAAAAAATTTAGAACAAGGGGTGCTTTGCATGGAGGGATGGGGATGGTTAAGAAAATGTGCAACAATGAAAAAAACAAAACATTTAAAGAAAATACTTTACTAGCATGAAATATTGATGTCATTGTTTGATAATTTCTGCATTCCATAACCTTGTTTTGGAATAAGTACAAATATGGATCTCTTCTAGTTTATTAGCCAGGCAGCTGTCTTTCCAATTTCTTCTGAGCACAACCAGGGCTACATCTCTTTACTCAAACATTTCAATAGGTATTCTTTCAATACTTGGTGCCTTATTTTTTGCCAATGCCTTCACTGCAGCTTGGACTTCTTCTTTTAATACCATATGCCAGTTTCCAAAATGGTTCAGAGTCAGCCATTCCTTTCTGGCACACTGACACACACACACACACACCCCCAATGGATAATTATATATATTTTTTGGAAACTGCCTGTGTATTCAGGTGAAGAGTCAGCACAGAAGTGCCCACCGCTGTCCCACTGCCCCTGCCCCAGCATCTACTCCCAGCTCTCTATAGACAGCTACCTCACTTCCTGTCTTTCTGAGCTTCAGGACAAGGGTCAACAGAGGGCTCTGGGCAGATAAGGAAGAGTGTCTAGGGGACAGGTGGCCTTCATCTCTGGTGAATGGAAGAGTTATCTTTAGTCTGGCATCTGGAGCCTCCCTCTGAGCATGGGCATGTACAGTGTGGGAAGGAGCTAGGGAAGATGCAAGCCTTCTAGAGTCCACTAGTGCCTGGTGGACTAGGAAATACACAGAAGACCCCACAATCCCCTATCTCAGACCCACTCAGCTCTGTATCTAAGAAAACATATGACACAATGACAGCCACTCAGCTCTGTATCTAAGAACACATATGACACAAGGACAGCCTGCCTCCCCCAGGAACCTGCAGCCCCTCCCAACCGCCTATGTGACCACTATCAGAAGGTGATAGTCTCCACATCCTGGCCCCTCCACAGAGCAGTAGGGTAGGCCATCACTAGCAGCCCAGTAGCTCCAAATGAAAGGTGGTGCAGTTAGGCCGAGAAACATACAACATGTGGACAATAGTGAGAATTGAAGGGTGTCTCAAATACGTTCCTCTTGTGCAAGTTGTCTGAGTTGCCAGAAAAGATGTTGTTGTCTGCATCCCCAAGGTCATTGTACAAGGTCCACTTTTTACCATCATTGCTGTAGGCCACCTTAAAGGCTGTCATATACTGGATGTAGCCAAAGTCATGGGCCTTGGGTGATGATGCCCCTCAGTTGCCTCTGGGTACCCAGGTGGACCTGTAGCCACTGGAAGGCATCGCTGGTCTAGGTAGTTGAACTTGCCCTCCCTGTCCAGTGTGAAGGAGCATGGCCAGCTACAGGTCCTCACCTTCCAGAGGCCATGTCAGGGATGGTGTTGTCCTTCATGCCCAACAATTCAAAGCATCTAGTCAGCTCAAAGCAGAGGGTGAAGCGCTGGACGCAGGTCATAGGGACCAGTCTCAGATACTGAGTCTCCAAAGGGATGTCAAATAGGTTCATCTTCATGCTGTTATTGTCCATGTTACCCTCAAACACCTTGTCTCTAAGTCTCTAGTTCACCTGCATCCTGGATGAAGTAGAATGTGTGCCCATTAAGGTGATGAGCCACCTTGAATAAGTGCTTCACACAGTATTGTCCCTTCAGCTGATGCCTTGGGTCACTACAGCTGTCAACCACACCCTCTGCAGCACATTAACCTGGATCCAGGGTTGCCTGTCATAGCTGCTGGCAGCCCAGATGTTGAAGGTGCCACCCTGGTGCAGGCAGGCCAACTCCAGGACCCTGCTCTGCACACCCAGGAAGCCTAAGTGGACAGAGGCGGCACATATCTACGAGTTAGTGATGGCACCCTCTTCCGTACCCAGCGGCATGGTGCAGCTGGCCTCACAGTGGATACCTGCGAAGCCCAAGGACACTTGAAGTAGAACTCAGTGGTAGGATCATGACATATTCAGCATTTTGGCGGCAAGGGTTTGGCAAACAGGGACCTTCAAGAGTCATATTGCATGTGGTGCCCATGAAGCCTTCAGAACAGAGGATGAGTAGACAGAGGCACTGTCCTGGCCCACCATGTTGGTGCCCCCATACAGGTATAGTTTCGAGTCACAGCAGCCAGTGGAAATGGCCTCCTCGGTGAAGGGACCAATGATGCAAAGGAGCGTACCCACCAGGTTGGTGACCAGCATGCTGCTTAGAGAGGGACCTGCAGCTCTGGATCCAGCACGTGGGCTCTCTCCATCTTCTTTTAATATTCCTGCATTACTCAATATTTTACTCATAAAATCCTTTAGTATTGCAACTCAAGGCTTGAATTCTTTTCTTCTGTTATTCAGGAGTAAGAATATTACCCTAATTCTAATTTTCTGTGACTCTAGAGTCCTGCCTGTTACAACTTCCTTATGCAAAACCCACTATATGCTAATCATCAGATTGCCTCACTCCATTGCCATCTCCTTCTATGTGGCTTCCATGACTCAAGAACCTGAAGGTTCCAATCCACATTTCCCTGACTCTCCAACAACCTGCATTCTGTAGATGGCACAACCTTGCTTGCTGAAAGTGAAGCCAACTTGCAGTACTCACTGAAGATAAAAGTCTTCAATATAGATTATGCTTCAACATCAAGAAAACAAAAATCCTCCAAGATAGGAGCTGGTCATTTCAGCTCTCCCAGTTTTAGTCTGGCAGGAGGATGATTAAAGCCAAGTAAGGAATGAAGCAGAGCCTACCTCTTTCTTCTGTCGTTTCCTTATTACAAGTCTCAGCACAACTGATTCAGAAGAGTAATTCCCTTACTCACAAACAGCCACCTAGAGTGTGAATCAGTTCCCAGAAAAAGGGACTAACATGCCCTGGGTTTCTGAGTTAGTCATCTACTCTTCTATTGCAGCTCTGCAAATGCAATTTCCCCCCCACCCCCACCCCCATAAGATTGATAACATGCCTCCAGAAACCCTATGAACTTTGATAAATGTCGAAAGTTGTAGAGGGGCTTCAAGACTTGTTCATAGGATCCCTGAGTGGTGCTCAACTCGAAGGCAATCAACAACAAGACTGATGTATCAGGAAACAATTTGAGCACAAAGGAAACTTTCCATTTGCTTAGGTTGATTTTATCTGTGAGAAACACCAGGTAAAGGCAGAAAACTGCTCCCAGCTGTGCCAAGCTGCTTAGGAAAACACAAAATGCATACACTTCAATTCACCAAGTATGTTATGAGTCACACCCGTCCACACCTGAGGGTAGAACTAACCCTCCTTTCACCACTTCACAGTAACACAAGCTACAGCCCTTCCAATGCTCACTTAACAAAAGCAAATCTCAAGTTCTCTTCAGGGCAAACTGCCATCCATATTCACTATAGTATTTATATGTTTCTTTGACACTTAACATTAACAAAACTGCAATCTTCTTTCACCAAGTTCCTTTCATTTAATGCTATCATTTTCAAACGTTTTGAGTACTGTGTGCCAAACGCACTTTTCCTCAAAAGGCTTTTACCATGCAACTTTGGTTAGCATGGCGATTGTTAGGAATATATAATGTTAAGTTAGGATTGCACTAACTACACTTTCAGGGATCTATCCTAATGAAGAACGGGTAGAGACAAAGTCTGGGAGCTAAAGAAATACACTGAATGGCTAATCAAAGAAGTGTGAAATGTTTACCTCATCAATTAATTGTGATATAGTCATTTACAAGATGGCTTTCTTAGATTTGCTTATGATATATGAAAATGTTCACAATTTTAAGTGAATATAAATTCAGATATAAGATGGTATATAGATCATGGCTCAACTAATACTAGAACGAAATAAAGTACTACAGGTTTGTTCTCTCTGGAAACTAATTAGAAGTATAGCTGGGCCTTGGAAACCACAAATTTGAACCACACAGGCTCAATAGTTTCCACTTAAAACCCCAATGAAGCTAATCATGGGCAATAAGAGAACTGCTCAAGTGGAGATGATCAGTGATTATCAATACTTGAGCTAACCACCAAGAGGCTGAGATGGGGGAATGTGGCAAGAGTTCACTGTGGAAAAGAGATTAATTTTGCAATGAGTTTTGCAGATAAATCAGTAAGGAACCATTCCAGGTAAGAAGTGAAATCTGTTTACACAATACACAGTTCCATCTTCCTGTCCCCAGACCTACCCCTCGATACTATAATCTCTTTCTGAGTTTGTCATTTCCTTTCTGGTCCTGTCCTAGAGGGCATGAAGCACAGTGTCCGCTAGTTTGCTAAGGGTTGAGTCAACAATGCCTCACAGTTTATGCTACACGAGATCAACTGTCTCACTCCACTGCCATCTCCTTCCTTGTGGCTTTTCTGACTGGAGAACTTAGAAGGTAAAGCTGCATTTCCCAGACTCAGCAACAGTCTGCATTACGTAGATGATACAAACTTGTTTGCAGAAAGTGACTCTTTGAAGCACTTCCTAAAGATCAAAGCCGTCAATATAGATTATACTTCAATATCAAGAAAGCAAAAATCCTCACAATTGGACTAGACAACATCATAAGAGATGGAAAAATACTAAAGTTTTCATTTTATTTTTCTGTCATTTCATTTTCCTTGGATGCACAATCAACATCCATGGTAGTTGTTATGTGCTGTTGAATCACTTACAACTCCAAGTGACCCTATGTACAACAGCTCTGAACCCTCTTCTATGCTGAACCAACCTTATTGTCTCTGACACACCTTACCCCATTACCCCAGCCACTGAGTCAATCCATCTCTTGGAGGGTCTTCCTCTCCTGCACTGTCCCTCCACCTTCTTAAGCATGATGTCCCTCTCCAAGGAATGGTCCCTCTTTGTAACACGCCCAAAGTATGTCAGATGGAGCTTCAGAATCCTTGCCTCCAAAGAGCAGCCTGGTTTCACCCTCACCAGGACCAGGACAAACATGTTTGTTCTCCTAGCAGTCCATGGTATGTTCAACACTCTTCTCCAGCACTACAGCTCAAAAGCATCAATTCTCTGTTTATCATTCCTAGTCATTGTCCAGCTTTCTGATGTATAACAAGTAATTGCTGAATTAGGTGTTCCTTAGTTTCCAGTGAGGTCCCTGAAAACAGACTTTCCCAATGCAGTTCATCTTTTGATTTCCTGGTTACTGGTACCAAAAGTGTTGATTGTGGAGCCAAGCAAACTGAAACTGTTAATAATCTCAAATCTCTTCACCATCTATCATGATGCTGCGAATCAGCCATGCTAGTAGCAGCCAATAAATCAAAAGATGTCTTGCTCTGGGCAAATCTACTGTCAAGGACTAAAGAGTAAATATGTCAGTTTGATGACTACAGTGTACCTGACCCAAGCCATGGTATTTTCAACTGTTTCATATGCCAATAAGGGTCTGGGGCAGGGGGGCCTGGGTAGTGAAAAGTCAGTTGGGCCCTTGGGCCTGGTTTTAATTTTGTTTAGAATGAACATTCTTCTAAGTGGTACAGCACTGGTCTATCAATTCGCTCTACTGAGGTAACTTGGGGTTGTTGTGATACTGAATGCTGTGCCACTAGTGTGTTAATGCCATAACGGTCACCCATGGTGGAACAGTGTTTGGTGGAGCTCCCAGATTAAGACAGTCTTGAAAGCAGGCGTGGCATCTATTTCCTAAACAACATGCTTCTGGAAACTCTATAAACTTAGAGAAATGACAATAGTTATAGAACAGGGATCAGGTCTTTTGTCCATAGGGTTGCTATGAGTTGTGCCCAATTCTGCTGCACTCAACAGCAGCAGCACATATGCATATGAACACTGTACAGTGAAAAAGGAACACTGAAGAATCAATGTCTCTGAACTGTAGATCTCATGGACTGCCAAATGAATGAACAAGTCTGTCTCTGAGAAAGTGCAACCAGGATGCTCCTTAGAGGAAAAGATGGTGAAACTTTGTGTCACACATTAGGGGCCTGTTGCCAGGACGTTCCCAGTCCTTGGAAAAAAGACATCATACTGGGGAAAGTGTAGGGTCAGCAAAAGATAGGAAGATTCTCAACAAGACAGAGCGACACAGTGACTGTAACAGTAGGCTTGAGCATGACAGAAATCATGAAGATGGTGCAGAATAGGGCAAGGTTTTGATCTACTATTCATGGGATCACTGTATATTGTAGTAGAGTCAACACACGCAACAACATACAACAACAACGTCAGCAGCATGAATGCCCCTGACTGCGAAGATTTTTTTTTTACTGCGAAGATTTTATGTGCAAAATTATAAAGAAGCAGAGGCTACCTTCCTGCTCTGGAATCTGCAGGGCAGATGATTGGTGGCAATCACTTCTATTTCCTTGCCTTTGGATCATAGCTAATTATTCCTTAATTTCAAGAGTTTCATGAACGGTCCCCTGATTGTTTTCAATATGTCTTTGTACTTCCTATTGTTGTTGGAAAATATACTAGAAAAGCATGTATCAATTTAACAAACTTTTTCATGTACAATTTAGGGGTACTGAGTCTTCAAGTAATGTAACCACTGTTATTTTCCTTTTCTAAATTGTTC